TCAAGAGGTATTTGCTGAATAACTTAGTATGGTCATCTAAATGTCATTGGTACTTTCCTCTGTACCATGAATTTAGAGTTTGGTTTTTAATATGTGGTCAGAAATATTAAGTAAAGATAAATAAAATGACATACATTCTGTGTATATGCATAATTTTCTTACAAGGAAACTCAAGTATGTTTAATATGAAGATACCCTAATGAACATTTACTTACTGCTCCCTGAATCTGAAAGAGAGAGCTAACGTTTGCCTGAGGGAACAGACTAAAGAAACATTCTTATGTACGTATAAAAGCAAATTAACAACAAAAGTCGAGTGAGAGGGTGAGGGTATGCCTCTTTCAACTTGAAATACTTAAACAAATATTGGATTTCAGTGAAAATAGGAGTCTTGAAACATGCCCTCAATGTTGAGATACTCACAAGATAATTTTCAGCTCTTGGCAGAAATGTTTATGCGTACTCTATAAAGCAATTTTTCTTCCTGCTGAAGAAAATTTGCCCCAAGCTAACATCTGTGCCAATCATCCTCTATTTTGTATGCGGGTCACTGCCACAGCATGGCCGCTGACCAGTGGTGTAGGTCCTCACCCAGGAATCAAACCCAGGCTGCTGAAGTGGAATGTGTCGAACTTGACCACTAGCCCACGGGGCCGACCCTCTATAAAAGCAGTTTTTTCAAAATAATGCCGATATTTATTCTCAGAAGTTACCTTACCCAAGTAAAATGACTTTCCTTTAGGGGCTGGCACTGTGGCATAGTGGTTAAGTTCGCCTGCTCTGCTTCAGCGGCCCAGGGTTTGCCATGTTGGATCCTGGGCATGGACTTATGCACTGCTTATGAAGCCATGCTGCGGCAGGCGTCCCACATATAAAGTGGAGGAAGATGGGTATAGATGTTAGCTCAGGGCTGACCTTCCTCAGCAAAAAGAAGAAGACTGGCACCTGATGTTAGCTCAGGGCTAATCTTCCTCAAAAAAAAAAAAAAAAGACTCTTGTTTAAAAGAGACACTGGTGGCAAAGGGCAACAGTTATTTAAATAGCTTTGAATGGTATTAGAGAACTGGGAACTGATGAAAATAGGATCAGCAGTACATGGGATGAAAATGGGCTTACACAGAGAGTAATTCTAAATAAAAGGATAAATTTCCCCATTTCTCTTTAAAATTTTGATGCCATGTGGACAAACTTTACACACCCATATGTGAAAAATGGATAATTTTCTCTTCTTGTTTTCAGTTTTTGTTTTATTTTTTCAAAAGTTAAATCTGCAAATAGATTAGGGAGGCAAATAGTTTGCTATTACATGCTGCAAAAAGCCCAGCGCCCCTGCCCTATACCATTCTTCTCTTTCCATTCCTTACACAGGATGTGTCTCCCCAGGTGACATGGAGTACCATCCTTGATGTTCTTGATTTCATCAAGTCTATTTGAGTTTTTCTACTCCATACCTCTTTCTCTCTAGGTGCTCCCCTGCCCCCTACCCTCCCAACACTCTAGGTTTACCCTGAGTGTGGAGTAAGGAAGTGAGGACAGTCTCATTTACCTTTTGCCCTTCACTTTCTCTCTCTCAGACTCTGCCTCTCAGCACTCAAAGAGCTTTCTCTTTCTCGCATTGCAGGAAATTTCCTTATATCAAATCTTTGTCCTATTTACTTTCTTATTCATTGTAAAAACTCTTTACTACAGTCTTCTGTGCTTGGTTTTATAAGCCTCTTTTCTCAACAAAGCTTGGCTCCTCCAAAAATCACAAGGGCTTACTTTCAGACTGTTGTCTCAACGTGGACTTGAAAAATTCTGTTTTGAAACTCAAAGCTGTTTTCAGCAGGGTTCTGTCCTTCCAAAGAGGCAATTATTTCCATTGGTTCAATCAGTGGGAGTAATGATGGGCCCACCGGAAGTAGGAATTATCAGGGAGGGAAATCTATTGATTTAATATCCCCCAAAGTATTACTCTGAGAATATACTCTAAGAACATATTTTATAGAGTTTCATTACACAGATGGAAGATCAATGTTTCCATAAGCAAGTCTGGAAGCATTGAAACTTATCCTTGGAATGCATCGTTAGTGTTTCCTAATATGCAGTTCTCCCTTCCTTCCTTGTGGCATACAGAAGACCAACCCTCCCAGATCCACTGCAGTTTCATGGGGCCAAGTGAGAGGTTCTGGCCAGTGAAATGTGAGCGGAAGCGAGAGGGGTGAGGCAGTGAAAAGCTCCTATGTGGTGCTATAGATCCCCTCTTCTCCTTTGAAAGTGGAGTCTCATGTTGAGATGGCTGAGCTACAAGATCAAAGTAGTCCGGATTACTGAGACACTGCTTGGTGGACAGATACCCTGGACTGTGGTCTGTCCCATATTAGACTTTGTGTGAGCAAGGAACAAACGTTTATTATGTTAAGACACTGAGATTTTGAAATTGTTTATTATCAGAGCACGAGCTAGCCTACTGTAATAAATGATCCTTCTTTGGCCACTGGCTTATTGCCTAATTGATGATTATGTAGAAATATATATATTTTTTTCACAAGCAGCAAAACTTATTTACTCATTTGAAAATATTTACTGAGTGCCTGTGCCAAGTGCTGGAGATATAACAGTATACAAAACAAACACAATATTTTCCCTTATGGAGCTTATATTCTAGTGGGGAAGTCAGACAAAAATTAAATCAACAAACAAAATACTTGCTAGTTAGGAAAAGCGTTATGAAGGAAACAATGAAACAATGGCTGAATTAGACATTAACAAGTGGGCAATCTACTTTAGATGGTATAATGGAGAGGAGACATTTCAACTGAGATATGAACAAAAGGGGAAGGTATCCTAGGTCACATCAGGAAAGAAAGATCTAAGCGAGTTTGAGAAACTGAAATAGGACCAATGTGACTGTGCAGAAATAAATAAGGAACAAGTGGCAAAACATGAAGTTGAAGAGATAGGCAGAGATAGATCCCGCTATGGTAAGGAGTTTGGATTTTATTCTAAGTTCCACCAGATAGGATCACCTTAATCTCTCCTTGATCCATGCCACACAGTTACCCACATCTATGTTCATTTCCTACTTCCTTCCGTGTGCCTCAACAAATGACATATTCCTCATCTTTCTGACAGCCAATCCTTCCCCTTGTACCCTCTCTGCTCTGGTTACCCTTTCTCGCCTCTATTCATGCACTCTGCTCCTTTGGTTATCCTCAGCTCTTCTGAATCTTCATTCTCTCTCCAATGGATCAGTCTTGTCAACCAACCTACAAGACACTCCATTATTCTCTGTCTTAAAAAACACCTAATCTCATCTTCTATTTCCTGATAGCTTCTACTCTATTTCTATTTGTTTGCGTTCCTTTATTGTCCCTGGGGCTTAAAAATAATTTGTATGCTGACTGTTGATTCCCAGACAAGATCTCTTCTTGGAGCTGTAATATTATATACCCAATTGTCAGTTTATTGACTCCACTTGAATGCTTGGGTACAAACACTCTGCAGCCCCTGGCCCCATCAGTGGATTATCCATCAGTTTTCCTTATGTCAGTAAATGATTCTACCTACCGTTCAGATGTTCAGGCCCCAAAACTGGGAGTAATCTTGATCATTTGCTTTTCTTCACCTTCCTATCCTGTTTATCAGTAAATTCTTCAATTTTTAACTCAGAAATACATCAACTTGGCTCACTCCCGCTAATGTTAGCTTTCACGATCTCTTGCCTGGATTTCTGAAATGGTCTCATGATGTGCCTCCCTGCTTCCATCTTGCCTTCCTCTAATGCATTCCCTACTCAGCAGCCAGAGTGGCTATTTTATTTATTTTAACCTGGAATATTTTAATTAAAATAAATTTTACAAACTGGTAAAATAAACTTTTACAACAAAATTAGCATATATGCTTAAAAAGTCATACAAAAAAGATAGGCAAAAATAAAAAAATATATATACATAATATACATTTCCACTTCCAAAGATTACAACTGCTAACACCTTAGGGTGTACTAACACCTTAGGGTGTAATACTTCTAGAGCTTTTTTTGTAGTACATAAAAACACATATGTACATTTTGTAACCAAAATGAGATATCATCATAACATACATACTGTTCCGTGACTTGCTCTTTTCAGTAAATGACCTCTACCTTTTCAAGGCAATACTTTTTCATCTTGTACTCAGTCCATCTATATTCAGATTTCTTCAGTTCTCCTTAAGATGCATTTTATAGGTGGTCTGTTCAAACCAAGATTCAATCCAGGCTCTTAAGTCCCTTAAATTTCTTTTCATAGAGCAGTGGCTTTTTTCATAAGAATAAGTTGTTGAAGAGATGGGGTCAGTTATCTTGCAGAATGTTCTATTTTCTAGATGTTTGGTTACTTCCCATGGTATCATTTAGTTTGCTCCTCTATCCCCTGTATTTCTTATACATTGTGTAATAAATGCAAAGGTTTGATAGATTCAAGTTAAATATTTTTGCCTGGAGTATATCATAGATGATATTGTATACTTTATACTACATCCCATCAAGAGATACACTATCAGATTGACGCACAGGGGGCCTTCCTAAAACGTAAATTGTATCATGTCACTATTGCCTAACTGCCATTTATAGCTTCCTGTGTATATTTTACAATACAAATTCTTTAACTTGGCCTACAAGCTTCTCAATGATTTGATGCCTGCTTACTCTTCCAACTTTATTTCATTCCATTCTCTACTTTTCTATATTTCATTCCATTCTCTAGTTTTTAAGAGTAGAGAAAACTACTTAAGTTTTTTGCCACACTGTTTGCTTCAACTCCCTGAACGTGGTAAGTACTTGCCTCTTACGACCTTTGCACTCACTGCTCCTTGGTCTGCGAGGCTCTTCCTTGCCACTCTCCTAATGTCAAGCATCGTCTCAAACTGCAGGTTATTTTAAGTTCACCTTCTCAGAGAAACCTTCTCTAATTATCTTGTTTAAATTAGGTTCTTCCAAAGAATCTTAATATCCTACATGCTAGTCCCTGCGTCCTTACCTGACTGTAGCTTCACAACGGCAGGGACCTTGCCTACCAGGCTCAGTACTTGCACACAGCAGCGCGGTGAATGAACTACCATAGGTCACAATAACCCTGAGGCTGCAAGCTCTTACGTTGCCGCAAACTCTCGCAGGTGGCAGTAAGAGGAGTCCTTCACCGAGAAGTCGTTCGAGTGGAGGAATAGTTACTTTTACATGAAAGCGCCCTGTCCACCCGCCGCGGCAGCAGGCGGGGAAGAGATACCCACACGCAGAGAAAGCCGACACCTTATCACACGGCGCAGGCAGTGCTGGGCCCAGGTAAGCGGCGCCGCCCCCTTGACTCGCTCACGTGACCGCGGGCTGCGCCTGCGCGGGAGCTCCCGGAAGTGGCCGGACCCGAAGCGCAGGCCCAGCGCTTGTCCGTCAGCCCGTCGGTCCGCCAGTCCGCCAGCCAGGTACCCAGCGCGCCTCGGTTCTCGTCGCCGTCCCGCGGTCTCTGTGGCCTGAACGGCGGTCGAGCAGCTCGCCATGGCGTCGTTCATCTCGGTCCAGCTGAAAAAGACCTCGGAGGTGGACCTGGCCAAGCCGCTGGTGAAGTTCATCCAGCAGACGTACCCGAATGGCGGGGAGGAGCAGGCCCAGTACTGCCGCGCGGCGGAGGAGCTCAGCAAGCTGCGCCGCGCCGCCCTCGGCCGCCCGCTGGACAAGCACGAGGGCGCGCTCGAGACGCTGCTGAGGTGGGCCTGGGGCTGCGCGGGGAGGTTGTCCGCAGCCTGCCGCCCTCCTTCCCTCCTCCACCGTTCCTTCCTCTCCCTCCCACCCACGGCCCCTGCCCCGGCCCCGGCCCGGCCGCCCCGCCCTGGCTTGGCCGGGCGCGTAGGTGTGGTCTGCATTCCTTCCTGGTGAGCAGAGCGGCCCGCAGGCCACCGCCGACCCTGCCCGCTCTTGCTGCCGGCCCTCCCCCAGCCCTCGGTCCGCCGCGGCTCGGTCGATCGGATACCTGGGAGGAAAGATCTGCCACGTACTTGATGTCTCCTGCCACGTTTACCCAGAACTAGTTTTCTTCACTTTTGGGGGGTCTGTAACTGAGACTCCCTTTCCCCCGTTTTTGGGGGAAATCACCGCAAAACTTTCTTGGTTAGATTTGGATTTCATAATACTAGTTGCTGGAGGGAAGTGGGAGAATTGGGACACTGAAACACGTCTGTTACTTATTACATTGTCCACTTGTAATGAGCCATCTTTCTAAGTTCATCATAATCAAGTGACATGGAAAATTCCAGCGGTTAGGAGCTACAATTATTTGAAATCAAGCTTGAGTGACATAATGGAACGTTCAAGATAGGTTGCTTAAAATCAGTTTGTTCCCAAGCAGGTATGCGCATGATGGAGTAAATCTGTTGTCTTAGCAAGTGCTTAGTGAGCTCATGCTGTATTTATTAAGAGCCCCTTTTGTGGTGCTTTCCAGTTAGGATGGCGGAACATTTTTATAGTTAAAAAATTCCTTTCACCTCCCTTATTAATGATCTCATTTCCTGTGTATATCATACTCATGTTTCACAGGAGAAACATAGCTGTTATAGGATGCAGGTAGGAGAAGCCCAGGTTAAACTAGTTTATTTGTTCTGATAACTGAAAAGTCTAGGAATATTGCTTCCTTAGCTTTAGGCCTCACTGGAGATCATCTGGCCTCCATGATGGTTCCCTCTTAGGCGAGCTTTGTTCCTGTATTGGGAGAGCTGGCCACTGGCAGCTCATGCCGTAGTTACAGTGGTTGGTAATAATCAGGATCTTACATAAGAGAGTGCTCTTCTCCTTAAGGCTGGCGAAAGTCCAGGGGAGGCTTCCGATTGGGTTGGCTTGTGCCCATTTATGATGATGGGAAATGGGCTAATTTAATTGCCCTTGTCTGAGTCTCTCTTCTGGTTTAACTCCTCCATCTTCCACGGATCAAAGCAATATTGCTGTGGACTGGGGAAGGGCTGGTTCCCCAAAAGGAGGATACTGAATAGATTGCTCAGAGAGATTATGACCCCTTTGTGACAATTTTAAAGATAAGGCTCTTGGGTGGCAAAGATCGTTAGTTTGATACTTCTATAAGAATTTTTAAAGATAATTTAGGAGCACTTAGCCAGTCTTTAGAATCAACATACTTTAAAAAATCTCCAAAGCAGTTTTTATGTAGACATGAATAGTATTCAGTGAGGATTTTCCATATGTACTATTGAAAAAGCATGGATGTGTGGTATAACGAACACTATGATAATCTTGTTGAATTGATGAGGTTTGGTTCCAACCCTTAAGGAGCCTGGAGTCTTCAGAGAAAATTAGTGCATAGATTTCAGACTAACAGACAAGAGGGAATAGTGGGGTAGTGGTTCTGATAGGGTTCTGTTGTGAACTTTAAAACTTCATTGATTTGTTCATTCCTTTATTCTTTTCCCAGGCGTAAATGTGAGAACTGTTCTTAGGTACTAGAGCTGTTGCAGGGATAGTCTCTTTGAAACTAACCATATTTCTTTAATCACCTCTGTATTATCCTCTCCTAGTGCATTCATTCAACAACTACATTTTTTTCACTTGTTCTTCTAGTGGGGTTAGAGTAAACTAATAGATACTACAGCTGATTAAATTTTATAGTGGAAGTGTGTACACAAATTCCTTGGGTATATATGCTGTAAAAATGAAACAATTGTGAGATGTTCATTCAATCAAGCAGAATATCTTACTTTTTTTTTTTTTTAAAGATTTTATTTTTTCCTTTTTCTCCCCAAAGCCCCCCGGTACATAGTTGTATATTCTTCGTTGTGGGTCCTTCTAGTTGTGGCATGTGAGACGCTGCCTCGGCGTGGTCTGATGAGCAGTGCCATGTCCGCGCCCAGGATTCGAACCAACGAAACACAGGGTCGCCTGCAGTGGAGCACGCGAACTTAACCACTCGGCCACGGGGCCAGCCCCAGAATATCTTACTTTTAATAGTTATGTTTGGAGCTAGCCTTGATGGCCTAGTGGTTAAAGTTTGGCGTTCCTGCTGCTTTGGCAGCCCCGGGTTCATTTCCTGGTCAAGGAACCATGCCACTGTCTGTTAGTTGCCGTGCTGTGGTGGTGGCTCATATAGAAGACCTAGAATGACTTACAGCTACGTATACTACCATGCACTGGGGCTTTGGGGAGGAAAAAAGATTGTGTTTGGATAAGTGTGAAAACTGAACATTGATTTACATATTTTTAACTTGACGTTTAGGTAAAATTTTTGAAAAAGAGGATTTAAGCTAATTCTTAAAGAATAGAAGCTAGCTTGATAAGTACTGGTACACAGCTTCATGTATAGGTCCAGTGATGGACTTGACATTTTATTATTACTAACTTGTAGATGTTCTATTAAAATTTTTTTTTTTAAGATTTTTTGTTTAAAATTTTTCCTTCTCCCCAAAGTCCCCCAGTACATAGTTGTATATTTTCGTTGTGGGTCCTTCTAGTTGTGGCACATGGGACACCTCTTCAACATGGCTTGATGAGTGGTGATAGGTCCGTGCCCAGGATTTGAACCGGTGAAACCCTCGGCTGCTGAAGTGGAGCGCATGAACCCAACCACTCGGCCACAGGGCTGGCCCCTATTAAAATTTCTTAAAATACACATTTGTGTGTATGATATTGAGAATGAATGTCATCCTTTATAAAGTGACTTTAACTAAAAATTGATTTACAAGAGCCTTGGTAAATGGTGAGCTTTAGGGTGATCAGATGGGAACCCTGATGTGTTTTGGGGAGGAAAACTCCAGATAGCAGTGTCTGTGTCCTTTATGGTGATCAGTTTCTTTAGAGAGAAAGCTTCCAGCCTTCTTCCATGAGAAAGCCTGGTTGTCAGCTTTGTGAAATACGATTGGGCACAGGGAGGTTGGGGACCCACATAGTGGTGTATGCAGTCTTTTATATCATCTAGTTTTAGTGTGGCACCTGTATTATGATTGGATTCAGCTGCATATGGTAGATCTCAAATTATCAATGAGTTAAATTATGGTTTTATTCCTGTGTAAAAAGTTGGTAGATAGGTAATGCTGGTAGTCTAGGGCTGGTATCATGGTTCTGTGAAGTTCATCGGGCTCAGACTCCTTCCACCTATCTGCTCTATACAGTCCTTGTTCTCAGGGTCCATTTAGCAGTCCTACCCAAGGTTCAGACAGTGTGATGGAGGAAGGGAGAAAGGACGCAGAAGGCTCTACCTCCAGAATGTTTCCTGGAAACTGCCCCACAACACCCTGCTTATGTTATTGGCTGTTATGTATGTCCGCATCTCATGGAAGTATGGGATAGGAACAGGAATTTTTATTAAAGGCAGCCGTATACCCAGCTAAAATCTGGGGTTCCATAGAAAGAAGGAGGAGAGAGAATGATGTAGGCAATTAGCACCCCCAACTGTAGCCGCTCAGTCCCCATGCTCCCCACTTAGCTGTGCTTGATCCGCACCTTAGCTGTTCTTGATATCCCTAACATTTTCCTGAGAGTAAACCTGCCCTCAGAGTAGAGGAACTGTGGGCCTAAAGCTTTCTTTCAAAGATTTTCGTCCACGTTTGCTCTTCCCAGCCTCACGTTGCATTCTTGTCTTCAGTGGTACCTCATGCTTCTTAGTTCAGATCCTTTCTCCCTTCTCTGGTGTGATTTGGCTTATACTTTGTTAGCTCCCTTCCCTGTAGGCAGGTAGATTTTCAGCTTTCTCTTCTTCATTATTCACTTTTCACCTTTTAGAAAATTTCGGGAAAGCTCTGTAAGCTATTGTGCCCTTTCCCATTTTCTTTGTCCTTGTGCATTTACGTCTTTTTAATTTTTTTGTGTGTGTGTGAGGAAGATTGGCCCTGAGCTAACATCTGTTGCCAGTCTTCCTCTTTTTGCTTGAGGAAGATTGTCGCTGAGCTAATAACTGTGCTAATCTTCCTCTGTTTTATGTGGGGTGCCGCCAGAGCATGGCTTGATGAGCAGTGCTAGGTCAACACCCAGTATCCAAACCTATGAACCTCAGGCCGTCAAAGTGGAGCACGTGAACTTAACTGCTCTGCCACCAGGCTGGTCCCCTTAATTTTTTTATTCCTTTTTAGTGGGATTTTGGGAGGGAGCAGAAAAGGCTGTTTATTCACATCTCTTTGTTTAACTGGAAGAGGGTATCTGCATTTTCAGCTTTCCACAGTGGTGGTATCAGTTTTCATTCCCATCAGGAGGTATATGTGACTTTTTTCTGCCTACACATCCTTGCTAATACTCTCTGATTAATAATTTAAATTAATTGCTTTTTGCTAAACTGATGGATGAGACATGGTACCTTGTTTTAGATAGTATTGCCCTGACTTCTCTGAAGTCGAGCATCTTGTGTTTACTGGTCCTTTAGTTTCTTTTTCTGTGACTT